AGAGAAGTTCAGACCCAAAGACAAGTGTCAGATGAGAACCGAGTAGATTCAAGTTAGAGAATCTGTCTACAAGAGAAGTGATATATATATATACGTAAGGTGAGATACTGGTGGAACGGTAAGGGTACAGGGTAACGGAGGTATTACCGAAGTATCGGTAAGGGTCAAGGGTATGTATGAGTCACATACGAAAAGGGGTAAGTAGTACTGGTTGAACGGTAAGGGCAAAGGGCGTGGGGAATCTCCATCAAAGAAGGAGAACCGGGACAGTGGTAAGGGCATAGGGTTTGGGAGAAGCCATGGCTTCTGTGATCTAGGGGTAGAAGCAAGAGCTTCTTGTGTTTCAGAATAACAGGATCAAAAAGAGAGAGATAGAAATAGAATTGTAACCATGGTCTGGTCCAGACGAGTCTGAAGAATGAAATGACGCATAATGCTCATGTTACTGTAACAGTGTCTGGAGTGAGCAAAGTCCTATGGAGAATTCCCACAGTAGAAACTGGGAGAAGACAAGTAATATTAAGACTAAGGAACTACAAGCTAAGTACAGGATATGTTTATATACTTCTAAGTAAAGAGGCAGTGATCAGTAGTACATAGCATAAGGCTATGTGCTGAGTATGCAATTTGTAAGTATTAGTACAGAGGAAAACATAAGTTGGAGTGGATATCAATATGTACATGACAGATCAGTAATTGGGCAGTTATAGGGATAACCAGCAATCTTGTTAAGGTCATGCTCAAGGGAAGAGTAACTCAAAGGGCTTGGCTTCAGCTCGTGCACTGTGCCCCTTACCTGAGTACATGCCCTTAATTTCCGAGGGGTAAAAGGGAAGTTCAATGGAAGTCCAGGTAAGTCCAGAGGTCAAAAACAGGGGGAGTTTGGCGGAACTCCAGAAGGCTAGGAGTCAATAGAGTAAGGCTACTTCGGACAAGTCCAGAGTAGAAACAGAACAGAGATAGACTACCCTAAGGTAGAACCAGAGATATAGTCTTAAGGAATAAACCCAAGACTTGAAGGTGGACAAGAGATCAGACTCAAGTCCGGAGAAACAGAAATGAGCAGGAACTAAGATGATATTCGAACTGAGGAGGTACAGAGTTTTACAGGAGCTTATATGCTTATCAGGTCTCATGACTACTTATCAACATGTCCAACACATGAACACTTACTCATTATGCTTACACAGATGGTTACTCATACTAGTCTCTGATTGGATGATCCAACATTGTGCCACTTCTTGTCTCTTTTTCTGATTGGTTGACACAATCTTTCTATTCTTGCTTATCTTTTGTGATAAGGTCATCTACCTACAAACTGGCCCTAAACCATCTTCTTGTTACATATATATACCACACCTCCTGTACTTGCATTCCTTAACTTGAATCTACTAGGTTCTCCCTGATAACTTGAGTTCACCGATCTAGCTGCCTCTCAGCAGACTAGCCTTGACATCTGATCTAGCGAGCCCTTGACATTCAACTAGCCTGAACCCTTGATCTAGTGGATCCTTGACATCCGACTAGCTGGAACCTGTGATACTGCCTTAGTCTTGATCATCCTTTATTGGATCACTAAGGAAGAACTATCCTAGTTGTAGCACCAACTGGGTTGAATGGAGACAGGCAGAGTGGAAGTGTGAGGAAAGCAGGAAGGGTATAGGGTTGGGCAGAGCAGATATCAATATTGTTGGAGTGGTCAGATCTGGTATACAACAGTATGACAAGGTAATGGATATGAAAAGGTATGCAGAAACTATGTGAAATACACTGGGATCTGTTCTGGAACTTTGTCATATCCTGTACCTCCTGGACCCAGAATTCCAGATCTCCCCTATGAAAGTCCAGGGTCTCCATCCTGTTGTCCGCCCTGCCTGCTCCAGTTTTCATATCCATACTCACACCTATCTCCTTTTAGAATAACTGCTCTCCGGCTACCTGGTTGTATACCTCTCCACTTTGCTTACTGATCCATCCATCTGTACTTCATTTCCGACTTCATTTCTTTGATCCATTGTACACTTACTAATAGACTTTCCATATGCTTCAGGCATAGCTTTTACTTTGCTGACTGATTACTTACATGATACCTACAGTATATAAACTCCTATAAAACTCCGTTACTCCTCAGTTCGAATATCATCTTAGTTCCTGCTCATTCCTGCTTCTCCAGACTTGAGTCTGATCTCTTGTCAATCTCTGAGTCTTAGGGTTATTCCTTAAGACTACATCTCCGGCTCTACCTTAGGGTAGTCTATCTCTGTTCCATTTCTACTCCAGACTTGTCCGAAGTAGCCTTGCTCTATTCACTCCTAGCCTTCTGGAGTTCCGCCGAACTCCCCCTGCATCTGACCTCTGGGCTTACCCGGACTTCCGTTGGACTTCCCCTCTACCTCTTGGAAATTAAGGGCATGTACTCAGGTAAGGGGCACAGTGCACGAGCTGAAGCCAAGCCATTTTGAGTTACTCTTCCCTTGAGCATGACCTTAACAAAAGGTGTAATTAACCAGACTAGAAACTCCATGTAGTATTATGTGAGTTTTAGCTCTGCTAATCCACACACACACCATACAGCTATGGCTGCTAGAGCTGCGAAATCAGGTAAACCTACCAAATGTGCCAAGCTGAAGGAACTTGATGCTTCAAAGGGAGATAAGTGGGAGTTATCATGGTGTTCCATGTGTGGATTTTGCAAGCACACAGGTCACATCTGGAAAAACTGCCATACTCACCTAGCAAAATCAAACTCACCAAACACATCAGCACATATTCCCCCATCATCCTTGCAGAGCACTAATCTGTCAACTCTCACACTAGGACAACCTGATGACATCCCATCCTTTCTTCGCCTTTTCACACATTCTGCAAGATTTTCTAATACGAGCATTAGTTCCTTCTCATTCCACATAGATTCTGCTGCAACCGCACATATGGAATTGGACTACTCTCATTTTACTCATTATTCTGCCTATGATCCACCTATAATGGTGAAACTTGCAAATGATGATGTTGTTTTTGCTCCTGGTTGGGGGATTATAAAGCTAGTGCTTGTTAGAGACCATGCTCGAATGGAGAAGTGGAGGGGTTGGGGCTTGGCTTCAGCTCTTGTGCTGCACCCTTAGCTGAGTATGTGCCCCAAATTTGGAGCAGATCTGACAATGTTCGAGGATAGGACAAGTAGACCTGCTTAGGTCCGCTTTGGCAGGCTTAGGAGGTAAGAGCTGCTAGCGGTAATCCGACTAGGAGCAGAGCAGAGAAGGCAGAGGAAGATTATTGGAACAGAGGGAGCAAGGGGACAATGGGGGATGTCAGAGAAGTAAGAGTGAACACTTTAGAGCACAGCTCTAAAGTCAGGAGCAGAGGGACGGAGGTGATGACAAGGTAAACTTGTGTCTAGAGAGAGCAAAGTCCTATGGAGAATTCCCACTAGTAGAAGACTACGGGAAGACAAGTAATATTCAGACTGGGGTCTAGCTAAGTACAGGATATGTTTTATATATGTCATATACCTGATCTGACCGCTCTGAATATCAATATCTGCTCCGCTTTCCGACCCCCTCCGCTCCATCCATCCTCTGCTCTGTCCAATCACAGTCCACATTCCTGCTCCTATGCTTCCGCTCAACCACTCAACCGGTTCCCTTCCTATAATGTCTCCATTCAACTGGACCTCTTTCCCCTTTTAGATATATACTTTCCCCTTTGGTACATAGACCCTTACTTCCGGATCACCAGTAATTCCTATTACCGCCCAATCACTGATCCGACGCATACATATTGATATCCGCTCCGACTTATGTCTTCGCCTGTGTAAAGTACTTACAAACTATATCCTTGGTACATAGCTTTACAACATAGTTATCCTGATCACTGCCTCATACATAGAAGTATATAACATATCCTGTACTTAGATATTTTCCTCAGTCTTAATATTACTTGTCTTCTTGCAGTTACTACTTGTGAGAATTCTCAGTAGGACCTTGCCTCCTCTGGACACAAGTTTCAACTTGTTGTCACCTCCAACCCTCCAACCCTCCGCTCCGACTTAGAGCTGTGCTCTAAGTCTCCCCCTTGTTTCTCCGCCCCTTTCAATATTCCCCTCTGACCCTTTTCCATCCTCCGCATTATCCTCCGTCTTCCCCGCTCCTACCAAACATTCTCCCTGCTCCTATCCACCCTCCGCATCACTCCCCACCTTCTCTGCTCCGCTCCTAGTTGGCCTGCCGCTAGTAGCTCTTACCTCCTGACCCTCAAAGCGGACCTAAGCGGTCCACTCGTCCTATCATTGGACCTACTCCAAATTCGGGGCACGTACTTGGCTAAGGGCGCAGCGCAAGAGCTGGAAGCCAAACCCCGACCCCTCTGCTTCCTGAGCTGGCACTGGTACCTAACAATATACTTCTAAGTAGGAGGCAGTGACTGGTTAGTTCTTGGTAGGAGGCTATGTACCAAGCATACAATTTGTAAGTAAAAACATAAGTTCGGGGTGGATATCAATATGTACACATCGGATCAGTTAGACTGAGTGGTTATAGGAAGTACCGGTGATCCAGGAAGTAAGTACTATGTGCAAATGGGGAAAGTATATACCTAAATGGGGCAAGGAGATTTACAGTAGAATGGATGGTGCAGAAGGCAACCAACGAGGCTGGTCGAGCGGAGCTGTAGGAGCCGATGCAGGAGCTGACTGGGACAGGCAGAGGGTGGACGAAGCAGAGGTGGTAGGATAGCAGGGGAAGTAGGATGTTAGGTGGAGCGGATATTAATATTGATGGAGCAGTTGGATCAGGTATATGACAGTGCTGAACAATGGCACAAGCTGGGAACCTGCTGAGATTCCTTTCCTACATGTCCCTGACCTACAATGCATGCTGATATCAGTCTTGGCTCTTGCATCAGAAGGCATTTTCTTTGCAACTGAATGCCAAGGGAGGTTCAATGCAACATGCAGATGGCACTCCTATTGCACAAGTCAACTGCACTTCAGGTCTTTATTATCTTCATGCCAAATATGGTGAAAACCATACTGCCTTCACAGCAAAGTCTGTCTCAAGCACACCATTGCCAATGACTGTTTGGCATGCACAGATAGGCCATGCAGCCAATTATACCTTGTTCAAAGCAGAGAAAGTGGTCAAAAGACTTGTCCTTGATAATGGCAGACCTGTGGAACATGGTGATCATATTGATTGTGTGTCATGCCTAATGGGAAAGCAGAAACACTTTCCATTTTCATCCCACACTCATCATCGCACAAAACCCTTGACAACTCCTGTTTGCCAGCCTAGGGGATTGACTCCCTAGGTTGACCGCCTTCTCTGCTCATCTGACTTCCCATGCCTCCACTGCCTTTCCTGCAGCATTGACTTATGGCTAATACCCTCATACCTCTGTCCTCCAGCATTTCCATTCTGCTTCAGGACTTTGTCTGAGCAGTCTCCTCCGCTCTGTTTCTACTGTTATTTCCGACTGCAGTAGCCCTCTGACTCTCCCCTGTAGGGTGGACCAATCTCCACCTGATGTTCCCGTGCTCATCCAGTAGTCCATCAGCCCTCCTTTGGAGGACCTCCGCTCCAATGTCCTGTCAGAGCTTGTAGAACTCAAGTCGGACTACAATCCAAAATTAGGGACACGTACTTGGGTAAGGGGCACAGTGCATGAGCTGAAGCCAAGCCCCTCAGACTCTGCCTTACCCCTGAGCACAGTCTTAACAGTCACCCTCAAAATGCTAGCATTGTTCAAAGCTTCCCATAAAGGCTTTGCAGGACCACAACCTGTCATGGTGGCAATTTGACCTGGCATCAACTAGCTTTCTTGTCCCCATAGAAAAAAGCAGATGGTCAGAGAAGCATCAGCAAGCATCCACTCTATTCTTCATGCTCATCACCAACTATGAACACCAGTTGCACCTATAGGGAGAAAAGACCTTACTTTGTTATGTGGGAACTGTTCATCACAAATGACATGACCAGCTGGTCCTAAATCAAGGCTTCAATATCAGCATCTTCAACAATGCACTATATGGTACCTTATTGGATGACATATGGGAGACAGAACACAACAAGAGTCTGAAGTTGGTACATGTCGTCTCAATCATTGGTAAACTGTTTGAATATTGACACAACTGTTTTTCTTTCCTTCTTTCATCACATATCCTATCCTACAATGTACACCTCCACTTGCTTCCCTTGAACTGTTGCTGTCAATGCTTCTTGCTACCTGGGCTTGATATTTGCCCCTGCTATATACCAACGCTTTGATTTGCTACTTCATGATCCCACTACCCACACCCCAATGCTAACTCAAACACTATGCTTGCATTTGTCTCTATGTATGCTCACTCAAAACATGCAATATTCGCTTCCCCAACAATGCTATCACCCATCCAAACTGGGTTGGCTCCTTCACTCACACCACACAGCTACAGAACATGCTCCCAGCCACCAGCCTGTCATCTCGTCCTTGAGGTCAAGAAGGCAATATGAACTGGGGCAGGCAGACATACCCCCCTCCTTCTGAGGACAATCACTACCATTGCTACTGCTCAACCAACCAAATTGCAAAGAAGCCTCACAAAGGTCAACAGTCTTTTCAAGGGGGCACAGGCCAATCCAGCTCTTCAGCCTATGCCCTCTGCCTTGGCCACTTCCATCACTCTATTCACAAATGTGCTTCCAAGTTCCTCTGGGACAAGTGGACCAAAACTCAATGCCATCAAAATGCAGAGGGTCACCTGGTCAATCCTGAGGGCCTTGAGCTCTGCTATGATTGGCAAAGACTGAAAGGGTGTTCCAGCACAGCCCAATCTCATGTGCATGAGTGTTCTGGATGCAGAGTGAGGGATCATGGAGCTCAAGAGTGTCCTCACAGTGAGACCATGTAAGGCACTCACTCCATATCAGCCTGAAGCATGGTTACATTTTCTTTGCTATTCACATCTTATTGATAAATATGCACATATTCCTAATGGTTTACATATCAGTTTCATGGGGAGTGTCCCCAGTATATTGCACACATACACCCCCTCTAATAGCCCTTCATTACACACACACTACATTGCCTTTGCTACCATACTGGATCATGAATAGTCTACTGGACACTATATTGGTCCCTTATCTAAATCAGACACAGAAAAACTCATCAGTCTTTTCCAGACAGCCCTGCTTTCCATGGTTCCTAAACCAGGAAAGCCAGGCAAGTTTCAGCATTGTCATATACCAGATCTGAGCACCTCAATACCACCTGTGAACATCCCTACCACTAGTCTGACCCTCTGTTTCTCTGTCAGCTCAATCCCTCCTTCTCCAACAATGCATGAAGTGCATCTCAGCAGGACTAGCCCTGCTACCTCCACCCAACTCTATTCCACTCCTCTGACACTACCCCTATTTTCTTCGACACTATATCCCATACCTCCAGATCCAGAATTCCGGATCCTCCCCTTTGAAAGTCCAGTTCTCTGTCCTGTTGTCCACCTGGTGCTCCACTTTCATCTCTGGACTCACACCTATCTCCTTTTAGAATACTGCTCTCTGGTTACCAGTTGTACACCTTTCCGCTTTGCTTACTGATCCGTCTGTTTGCACTTCATTTCTGACCTCATTTCCTTGATCTGTTGTACACTTACTAATAGACCCTCCATATGCTTCGGACATAACTTTTACTGTGCTGACTGATTACTTACATGATACCTACAGTATATAAACTTCTGTAAAACTCCAGAACTCCTCAGTTCAAATATCATCTCAGTTCTGCTCATTCCTGCTTCTCTGGACTTGAGTCTGATCTCTCATCCACCTCCGAGTCTTAGGGTTAAACCTTAGGACTATATCTCCAGCTCTACCTTAGGGTAGTCTAACTCTGTTCTGCTTCTACTTCGGACTTGTCCGCAGTAGCCTTACTCTGTTTGTTCCTAGCCTTCCAGAGTTCCACCGAACTCCCCCTGCATCTGACCTCTGGACTTCCCCGGACTTCCATCGGATTTCCCCTCTGCCTCTCAGAAATTAAGGGCACGTACTCAGGTAAGGGGTGCAATGCATGAGCTGAAGCCGAAGCCCTTTGAGTTGTCTTTCCCTTGAGCACGACCTTAACAGGCATGTACAAAACCTCTCATTTCCCTTATATCTGTCCACTGCTATTTCTTCTATTAATTCTTCCATCAACTCTGACCTCTACCCCTGTACCTGGGGCATGTGTCATATACCTGATCCAACCGCTCCAATATCAATATCCACTCCACCAATTCTGCATCCCTCCCCACTTTCCGACCACCCCCACTCCATCTGTCCTCTGCTCCGTCCAATCATTGTCCGCATCCGCTCCTATGCTTCCACTCAACCGCCTAACCAGTCACCTTCTATAATGTCTCCATTCAACTGGAACCTCTTTCCCCTTTTAGACATATACTTTCCCCTTTGGTATATAGACCCTTACTTCTGGATCACCAGTAACTCCTCTTACCGCTTGATCACTGATCTGACATGTACATATTGATATCCACTCCAACTTATGTCTTCGCCTATGTAAGTACTTACAAACTATATCCTTGGTACATAGCTTTACAACATAAGTCTCCTAATCACTGCCTCACACTTAGAAGTATATAACATATCCTGTACTTAGATAGTTTCCTCAGTCTTAATATTACTTGTCTTCTCGCAGTCTCTACTTGTGAGATTTCTCAGTAGGACCTTGCCTCCTCCAGACACAAGTTTCATCTTGTTGTCACCTCCAACCTTCTGCTCCAACTTAAAGCGGTGCTCTAAGTCTTCCCCCTTGCTTCTCCGCCTCTATCAATAAACCCCTTTGCTCCTATCCACCTTCCCCACTATCCTCCGCCTTCCCCACTCCGCTCCTAGTCGGCCCACTGCTAGTAGTGTTTACTTCCCGACCCTCAAGTGGACCAAAGTGGTCTACTTGTCCTACTGTCGGACAATGTTGGACCCGCTCCAAATTTGGGGCATGTACTCGGCTAAGGGTGCAGCGCAAGAGCTGAAGCCAAGCCCTGACCCCTTCACTTCTTGAACCTGGCACAGTACCTAACAGCATGGCATCAACCATCTGCCTCCTCATCTGGTCTCTTCCTCCAGGCTTGCAGGCAGCAGTTTGCAATATGGCAGAAGCTTATTGCACAGTTCCCCTTCATCCATTGCAATGGCCAGGCCAGGTTGTTAGAACAGGAGATGATGAATTAATCATTAACTTGAACTTTTGCTTCAGATTATCTGCTTTTGCAGGAAGTTATGGTGAAATTGCAGATGCAGGTGCCAACATCTTCAGATTGCGAGGGATCAGTCCACTGTCTAAATGGGTGAATGATCATTTATTCATTCATATTCTTCAGGAGCATCTTGAAGACAACAACAACCTTTGTAAGGCTTGCTCTGCTATTATCACTAGGAACAGAGGGCTGCTTATTGACAGAGGGCATAAATGGTTCCAAGGATCAACCATGCCAGATGGCAGAGTTGAGGAATTCAATGAAGACTTATCATTCCCCATCCTTGATCTATTAATAGTGTCTCCATGTTCACCAGAGGACATGCTCTTCACTTACTGCTTCAATGACATCAATCACCTATCCAAAATCCTTGGTATATCTTAGGAGCTGGCAAAAGACATCTTCTTTTCATCATGCACTCCTTCATTGGCTTTCTTTGGGATATTGCAACACATTCTGTCTCAATCCCACAGAAGAAGAAAGAGAAATATCTGGCTGCCATTTGAGATTGGGAAGCTCAGTCGTCACACACCCTTCAGGAAGTGTAACAGCTATATGGAAAGCTTTTGCACACATCTCTAGTCCTCCCTGCAGGGTGGGCCTATCTCATCTCCCTCAAATTCATGCTATCCATCTTTCACAACCATCCACACATGCCTTATTCCCCTCCCAAGCATACAGGAGAAGACCTCTGCTGGTGGAAAGCCAGTCTCAGGCAACCCATTGTTGCTTGACCCATTCCAGGGCCCATTGAAGTCATTGACCCCTCAGCTTACTCAGATGCTAGCTCAGGTACTGGCATCACAGTTTGGATCAATGGTAATTGGAGAGCATGGCAACTCCTCTCAGGGTGGAAGGACGAGAATTGAGACATCAGCTGGGCAGAGGCAGTCAGGATGGAGTTCCTCATTATCACATTCCTCAGTCAAAGCCCAGAAGGCAGTTGCATGTTTTCAGTGACAATCGGGGTGTTGTCAAAGGCTGGTGGAAAGATTGAAGCTGAAACAGGGCCACCAATATCATCTTCAAACACATCCATGAGCTCACTGCATCTTTGTGATGCACCTTCCTTACTCACTTTGTACCCAGTGCCCACAATCCAGTGGATAGCCCATCCAGGGGAATCTACCCACCCTCAAGCTTACTGCTCTCCCCAATACGCATTCCTGAAGCTCTCCAACCCTTCATTGCAAATTTTGATGATCTCACAGTCCCTCCTAGATGTCATACACCCCACAAGAGCATCAAAGTGCAGTCACTCAGCAGTATCCACTTCCACTCCCAAGACTTGTGTATTGCGCCCATGTGCACTGCCTGCCTTCACTTCCGCTTCCTGAGAAGTTTACTACCTGTACCTCAGTGTTCCTTGAAAATAATCTTCCCTTTAAGTAGTGGTACTCAGGGCTTGGGTGTAGATTATTGAATCCCATCTTTTACCTTCCCACTTTCCCTTCACCTTACTAGAGGACCACTTTGACTTATGCCCACTATCAATCTAACCTTGTGATATACTTCCTTCGACTTGACCTGCGAGTTCCGACGAATCAGTACGTTCTGCATT